CGAGCGGCAACGTGCGGGCAAACGCACGCGCGAGACGAAAGCACAGAAGCACGTTTCCCCCGGCTGCTGCTGCTGCTGCTGCTGCTGCTGCTGCTGCAAGTGGAGGTGCCTTCAAGCGCACCTTGGCTAGCCGCTGCATTTTAGACGGGCGCGATTTTTCGGCGGGCGTGGTCGCGGATCGCGCGCGAAAGTCGCGCTGCCTGCTTCGATCAGCTGGCAAATCACGGGCCTCCTAGGCCGGTCAACACGTGAGTATCGCCGGGGAAAAGGCAGATGTTTCCACCCTGTGGACCCCCTGCGTTCCGATACGTCGCGCGTTTATCTGAATATATCGTCGGTCGCTGGGCTGATAACATTCTATTTGCAGACCGCGATGACGAAATCTCACGAAAATTATCGGGGGAGAAATTTCTTTTTATAGACATATACGCACGCACGCGGATCTGTCAAAGCCCGCGCTCGTAATAATTTCTCTCATAGCGAGAAGATATCTCGCGATCCTCCGATCCGCCGATTCTTGCCGCAAGAGACTTTCAACTGTCGGAAATTAATGTGATTATTAAAACTAGAAACGATCCGAATGAACTCTCGAATATACGACGAATTTGAAGATCGGAAGAGCCTGCGAATTCGTGCGAGAATATATACTCGGCTTGTTTTTAGACTTGATAAAAAAAATTATCTATACATCTCGTATATAACGCGACCAAGCTAAGATAAAGAAAGGACCGAGCTTCGGATTCGAGAATCTGAATACGCCGTGATATTCGGATGATATTCGATAGGGATTAATCCCGGGAGTAACTTCGGCACGCTGGCAACTCGGAGACGCGCAATTCCAGCGGGAGCCTGGTGCACTCCGCATTCCGCACGGTGCACGCTCCGGAGGAGCCGCGGGACCGCGCGGCTGCGCCGGATGACGGCCGGATGCAGCTTTATCGTTTTACGAGGCTAGCCTTATAATTTGCGCGCGCCACGCGATCAAAAGACGTGCTCCGGCGGAAGCGCGGCCCCGGCCCGCGAGAGTTCCTCGCGAGATAAAGAGTTCATAGGGACTGACCCGATTGGGGTCCGACTTTCGTCTCGAGCGACGAGAGGGAAGAATAAACAAAAGGGAAGAATAAACAAAAGTGAAATAAGGACGTCCGGCGGCTGTCCGGTTAGCCGAATTATCCTGTCGCAAATCCACTTTCCTCGCCGGATCGTTAAATTTGCGCTTCTCTCACTTTGGCAAACGACGAACCGAGAATTGTCAATCCCACGCGTTCGGACAGACGGACGTTGGGGAATTGGGGTAAGAGGCTCTTGAAGTAAAGAGTATCTTCCATTCGCGTGTGGGTGTTTGGCACGAAGTCTAAACGTGGAGACTTGTACGAGAATAATATAAGGACGACGACGCGACATGGCG